TGTGAGTTGTGTTTTTGTCCCTCATCTTTTGCAGCACAGTCACATTCAGGGTTAATGTGGAGCGTAGGAAAAGTGACAACTTAGATCTATTCTCATGTAAATAGGGATACATCAATGTTGTTTCATCACTAACTTGAAAAAATCCTGAACTATTCCTTTAAGAAGTTTACGTCTAAAACTAATGTTATATTTAACGTCTGAACCCTGATATTCCCCTTGAATGAAGGGAAGCAAAGGGTTAATTGAAACTGTAGATGTTCCATGTGAATTTTATTTTCCTTGTTCATCACTCTACACATTATTCGTGTTAAGTATCTTTGAAAACATCTCTGGGAGCGTGAACAAATCCCAGATCTGTTTAAAATGATGAACCCAGTGATCGGTCTCAGAGCCTTTGTGTTTATTAAACCCAATACAGTTTTAACATTCATGCTGTCTGAGTTATAGTGATCAGACCACAAACAGCATCTTAGTTTGTATTCACAGAGCGCTTTCATTCAGGAAGAAAAACAAGCTGTGAGTTTTCTGTCTTCCTCTTTGCAGCAGTTACATTTTTTACAACAGGTCAGTTTATCAGCTGTGCCAGTTAAAAACAAGATCCCTCTGCCTCACACCTGTGACGTGTCGAGGACCTTGTCCAGGACACCGGAGCCCTCAGTTAGCTATTACTCACATGCTGACCCCCTCTCCCTCTGGCAGCAGCCTTCAGATGAAATGGTTACCTGATGTTTGCTTACGTGTCAGCCTCCTGCTGATGACATGTGAAGGCTGTTCCCAGTTCAGACAAACACATGGGACGCTCAGGCTTGTTTTTCTTTCCCTTGTTAAAGATCATATCTGATGAGTTCGCAGCGATCCACTATCCTAGATGCGACTATAGCACTTATTAGCTGAATTTTGTCAATAAGTACTTTTAATTTACGGAACCAAGGATTAACCACTGCATTGTAAAATATAATCTGCTCGCTCAGATGGCTGAGGTGGAAACAGCCGGGTGTGTTGCAGCCCTGGTTCCACCTGCTGACTCTGACTCTGAGGAAGTGGGCTGATGTGTCTGCAGGATGCACAGTTTTAAGATTGATTTGTTTGTCTTGCTGAGTGTTTATGCCCTGTTGCACGGCTGCCCGTGTTAGCTGATAGGGCTGATCTCTGGGTGGTATAGGTGTTACATAAACCTGACACTCCTTCCACTCTGCACAGAGTGTACAGCATGTCAGACATGTTGTGGTTCATGACACAGACTGATGAGCTGAGGTAAAAGCTATTTTCCTCTATTGATGTTTTGTCCTTATTAAATGATACCGATCACAGAGGAGGAGCTGCAAACCCTTGGAGACTTCTATGTGTTTGTGTGTATACCTGCTCTCTGTCTATATGCCCCTGATGTGTTGGGCCTTCTTTATTTTCAGTGGGTTACTTCCACATATTGGTTTACTCAGTTTGTCTACTGGTAGCCACGCTGTCCTGGTCAGGCCTGATCTCATTGGATATCGGAAACAACCCCCACCAGGAGCAGCCGAAAGATGAACAACAACAATCAGATTTGTCTGTCTTCTCTGGAACTTTTCACCTATTGAGGCTTTTTGTCCAAGACTAATCACAAAGTGATTAGTCTTGTTTCTGAAGTTGTGTAATGGGCTGAGTGAGTTGAGTGCACGTCTATGCATTGTCAGCAGCCCAACTTTGAAAACAGCAGGCTGGGGCATGGGCTGGTTACGGATGTGGTTGAACTGCTGATGAGTTGTTTATGGTCTGGGATTAAAGTGAGTGGAGGCCGGTAGAGGGTGTGTGAGGGAAGCAGCCCTCTGATTGGCTGGCTGCTCCTCAGCTGCTGCCTTTGTGACAAACCTTCACCTGAGACACAAGGAAGTGGAAGGAATTTAAGGTGCAAGTGGGGGAAGGGCGAAACTTTACAGGAGGGTTTCCAGCCTCGTTTCACAGTTCAAAGGTCACTGAGCTGGGCTTCTTCTCTGGCTTTAAAGTGATGAACCGAAGTAAGATGTAGTGAAAGTCCAGGCTGGACTGGATATGCAAGATCTGGCAAAACACACATTGGTGCACAAAAAGAAAACAGCAGATCTGCACACGCAGGTCTACAAATCAATTTATCATGCATGTGTCAGCACAGGCGGAGCTGCAGCCATAATCACACACCGTCACAGTTATGTAAGGACTATACAAAGTGCTAGGCATTGTTTGGTCAAACATTAACATGCGCTGGGTGTGTTGAGGCGGTTTTGTTTTTCCAAGCACAGTGTGTGTGTGTGTGTGCCAAGAGGTTCCCTGAACTGTCACAAACAGGTCTGTCCCTGCTGCCTCCAGAGCTGCTGCTCAGTGCCAGTAACACTGGTTCTGCAGAGCTGACCACAGCTATGGGAGGTTTCAGTGTAAATACAGGTGAAAGGCAGCAAAAGGGAAAGTGTTCAGCAGCATGTACTGCTTTCTAAATATTGTGGTGTAACACTATATTTGACCTGCTCTTTGTGTTGAGCATTTGTGTTAACTGATACCAGAATATTTCAGATATCAGAAAATGTTTCTCTAGCAGTATCTATTCAAGAATTACATGGTTTAAGTGCATATAATAAAGACAGCGATGACAACGATGCCCTCTTGTGTCCGTCGACCTGCCGGGTGTCATAAGATCATTGCTTTCATCTTAAAAGTGGAATAGTGGGAGTGTAGCATTGTTGGTGCATGAGGGCCGGTTGTTTTTGTTAATGTTTAGGATGAATAAAAATAAAAAACCTTTTAAGATGATAACGACATCCCCGCTGGGCATCATCTCGTTTCAGGTGGCGTCATCAGCTTTGACATTTTTCCGGAGGGCTGGGACAAGAGACTGTGTCTGGAGCTGCTGGGGAGCGAAGGACTCAACGCCATTTACTTCTTTGGCAACGAGACCTCAGATGTGAGTTTATTTGGTTTGAACAAAGCTGGATCCAGTGTTGTGAGCGCGACTGTGCTGCGTATAGAGCTCCCTTGACAGCTGAGAAGGTCAAGCCTCAGTAATCTGTTCTGTGTACTAGTATATAATTTTAATAATTGTCTCTTTAGGGAGGAAACGACTATGAAATTTTCCATGACCCACGAACCATCGGTTTCACAGTCTCCTCTCCAGAGGACACTGCCAGGCTCTGCCAAGAACTTTTCTTTGACGTTCCACATGAATCCTGATGCAGGTCCACTGAACTGCTCCCGGCCCCTTAATGCACAAACCCCTCTGAGCTCTTGCCCACGGGCCTCCGCTGATGAGACAGCCAGCACCTCGAGCCCAGGCCGTTAATGAACGGCTGAGCGGTACCACTACTGATTTTCTCCATATTAATAACATGATTATGTTTAATAAGAGTGGACAGCAGCGCAGTGTTCGATAACTCCACCCTTTTTTTTAAAGGGTCAGTAACTGAATGAGTGTTACCTCTTGATGTGCTCACGTCAGGCTTTAACGCTGTGACAGATGTTTGATTGCAGACTCACACCTCTGCGATGTGTAGCATGCACGGTGAAAATAACCAAAAAGCTTAGAGGTCATGAACATTCTGCAGTGTTTACAGTTAATACTCCAGATTACATACTGTAGAGTACACAAGGATGTTTTGCACTAATGTTGGTGTAATGTTGGTTTAATCAATTAATTAATAGTTGGTTTAATCTTGTTAAACACTGCTTAAGGAGCTGGGAAGAGTGAGAGAGAGAGGGGGGCTGATTGCTGCTTTGTGAGTCCATTTTGGAAATGACACACGGTGTGAATGACGTGTTAAAAGGAGCCATGGGCCTCAAGTCATTCCAGGTATTTTACTGTCTCGGCAGCGCTCTGAACTGGATGGGAGTGACTGATGGTTTATTGTGTGATCCCTGAATGTCAAATGTCCATTTTAACCTCACAGAGCTGCTGAAAGTTTAAGAAGAATCTTGTGGCTTTATGTGCTTGAAATGCATTAAAGTGAAGATTTGTCAGATTTATATTTAAAACTGGACATTACTGACTCAATGAATTCCTCTTAACCAGTGAATTAAGCTACTGTGACCAAGTCACTGTCCAGACCTTTGTCAGTCAGTATGACAATTTTTATGTAAACTGCGTTTACATGGTGTATCATGGCCTTCACGCTGTAAACCAGCGACTGTACTAATGCGCTTTGTTTGATTCCTTGTTGCTATTTTCTTTTTCAGATTTCTGCTTTATCAGCAGCTGCCTAAAGGGTTTTTAAACACTACCGGTTTGATTTTCGCATAACAAATCTTTCTGTCATGGTTCAGAATTAGGACTCCTCCTTGATGATGGATCGTTATTTTGCTGAGCCAGATACACTAGCTGCAGTGCTGTGTCAACTGTAAACACTCCACCCAACAGGCTCCAAGCATCATGCAGGCTTACTAAACATGCACAGCATAAGAATTAGCTTTTAATGTGTAAGATTGCTCATGTCTGTCTGTCATTTACATATAAAAATGTTTTACAATGCAATAAAACTTTTTTGATATCATTTCACCAACTCAGCTCCTAACTGTCTTTCTTTACCCACTTACATGAAATTTGGCTTTAACCTCAGAAATGCCTGTAACTCACTCACAAACCTAAAACAGCTGCATATTGTCCATAGAGTTACCGACCTGTCTTTTTTAAATTTCACCACTAGGGGTCGCCAGAAGGTTTTCTTATCTACACAGTGAAATAAAAGAGTGTGTGGTTGGTTGGACACACACACAAACATCTGTTGGAGCACAGATATGAGGCAATCAGCAGCAAAGTAAAACAGTAGACTTTCAGACCCGTGACTCACATGTTTGGCTGAAGATAACTGGGTTATCTGTTTGGAATAATGTCACAAGGCTGTAAAAACATCTGATGTACTGCATGTACTGCTCGTCCTGAATAAAACCAGCACAGAAACATCACTGAACACACTCTGCATGTCCACGTACTGCAGGTGCCACGGTGTCCCAGGAGAGATGGGAAATAGCTTTTTCTTTGATAAAACAGTGATGTTGGCGTAATTATTATAATTCTATTAGTTGACACAGAAAATCTGCATTAAGATTTTGTTGTGATTTCTAAATCAAGTGTTTCTCTGCTGTTGTTCTCAGACCTGACAGCAGTTTATCCTCTAACTGCGGTTCAGTGTTGTAGCAA